CATATGTGCGTCTGCAGAAAATTCTGGAAAATCATAATAAAGAACATATTTTAAAAATTCAGAATGATTAAAAAGGGGTTTTCTTTGCTTCTTTTCTATATGGATTATTTTTTCTTAAAGGGATTACGGATGCAAGGCAACAAATTTGCTACAAGTCTCCGGCTCATTCTGACAACATGAAAATTTCTTTTCTGTACAACAGGCTTTGATTAAAAGGAGATTAATACTACCATGAGGCATTTTGGACAGGCTATGTATGATATGTGAAGTTCATCTTATTTCAGAGCAATAATAAAAGTAGCTGTTTGGTCACCAACTAAGACTGAAACCCAGATTCCATAGTGTCAGTTGTATTGCAGATTTGCAAGACTAGCATTATCTAGGAACTGGTTATAAATGCAGACGTTTGGCCCCACTCCAGACCTGCCTGTGGTGGTGGGGTCTCATTGCCTGTGTTCTCACAACAGGTGATATTGTCCCTGGGTGATATGGACCCTGAACCACATTTTAACGAGAGAAGACACGAATGAACTTTGAGTTATTTATAGAACATCTTCGTATCTCTGCTTCTGTGTGCATACTGTCAGAGAGTGCATATGCCTTTTTTGTTTGCTTGTTTGTTTTCCCCACATAATGTCATCTGCTGAGACATCAAAGCAGGGCACTGTCGTCTGCTCTGAATTTGTCACGACACTAGAGAACAGACACAATACATTCTTGTCTTTTAAACTCCAGTGTACCTGGTTCAGTGTGTGAGTGTGAAAAACATGTTTTTTAATGTAAGAAGAAAGAACCATTTTGGCTCTTTGTTATGAATCTCCTCTCCATCCGATCTTTATTGTGACTTTTTCCGATCTGGAGGAGGAGGGAGGGCAAGAAGACGTATAGTATACTCAGAGTCCTGGGGAAGGCATGAAGAAATTACTCTTAGATATCATGTCTCTGTTACAACTATAAAAACACTTGCATGGCATATTAGAATCGGAATTGATATTATAAATAGTTTGAATGTAAAAGGGAAACTATTGAACTTTCAATAAATGTTGAATTTTAGAATGTCATTGTGCTCTGTTTCTCCTGGTGAACTTTGTTTAGAATGGAGTCCTGTTTGTCCCGAGAAGCCAATTTATTATATATCATTGCAGGAGGATGTAGATACCCTCACCCAAATGCCTGGAACCTGTGAATGTGAAAGGTCTCCTGTGAAGGAGACCCTTGTCTCCTTTGCCTCAGGAGGCAAAGAAGATTTTGCAAACATGATTAAATTAAGGATCTTTAAATGGAGAGAGTACCTTGGATTATCATAGCAACCCTAAATATAGTCACAAGCTAAAGAAACTAAAGGAGATTTCATGCAGAAGAAATCAATGTGACAAAGCAAAGTCCTGACCGAACTAGCATGCTACGCTGTTGAGGAGGAAGATGCAAGAAGAAGAGGCCACAAGTCAAGGAATGCAAGGAATGCGGCTCCAGAAGCTGGAAAGGCAAGGGAAACATTCTCCCCTAGAGGCTCCAGACGGAGCATGGCCCTGGGGTCACGTCAAAACTCAGTGGACATGTCAGGCTTTTGGCCTCCGGAACTGCAACAGAATACAATTGTGTTGTTTTAAGCCCCTGAAGTTGTGGTAATTGCCTTAGAGTAATGAAAAGAGACTATCGGAAATGTCCAGTCAGGTCTCTCCCATATAAGCATGTATAAAACTTAATCTGTGTTCTGTAATTTTAAAAGTTTTTATTTCCAGTCCATTCTTTAAATGGAAAAATGTTTCTATAATAAGCATTGTGGTTGGGGGCCTTACACACACACACACACACACACCCCTACCTATGGTTGTGAAAGTACAGTAAAGTTGTCATCCATATACTTTTGAAGTTTAGATTAGCGTTATTAGAAGTCATGAATGTTGGTTTATCTCCATGTGGGAAATTGTTTTTTTCCTTTGATCACAAACTTTTTTTTATGAGGGTTTTTTTTCTCATTAGGGTTAATCATCAATATTTTTGAAATTCATAAGCATATTTTTCAAATTAATGATATGTAGTTTTTAATTTGACAATTTTTCATATTATGCATTTTTTAAAAGTAAGTACATGCCAAATATAGCTAATTCTTTCACAGAATCAAGAAGAACATGCCATTCTAAAAACAGTCAGCACAGTTTAATTTTCTACACTTAAACTGCTTTTGGCCAAGTGGATTGCAAACATCTGATTTGTTCTTTTGCAAACTTTTTATCTGCTTGTCCCTGATAAGTGCAGTTAATCTAATCTCGTTTTTATTCCTGAAGAGGTGTGCATAACCAACACTTCATTAAAATAAAAACTTAATCTGCACTCATAAAACACTGTTTTCTTACTTATCTAGTTACATTTCTTCTCTGGATTTCAAACACCTGTCATACATGTTCCACAACTGTGTGCTGTGCTAGCATGGAAGCCACCAAACGTGTGGTTGTTGAACACTTGTAATGTGGCCGGTCTGGAGGCAGATGTTTTTATATACAAAATACATGCTGAATTTCAAAGACATTAGCAAAAAGGAATGCAAAATGCCTTATTAAGAATTCACATGGATTGTGTGTTTAAATTAGAAAAATTAAAATTACATTTGTGGCTTACATTATATTTTGTTTGGATAGTGCTTTTTTAAAAGATAAAATTCACCCCATATTTCAGTGCCAATAATAGCTTTTAAACTATTAACCTCAGCATGTCACATCATATGTATAATTGCCCATCTATCCTTATATGGCATTTAAAAAAAACACCAATGAATTACATTGTCAAAAACTGCAAATGACTTTAACTAATTAAGTCCAAGTAAGCTTCATAGAGATCCAGGTTATTTGGGCTTGTTACTGTCATTGTCATCTCAACACTTCATTCATTTTTTATTTTATTTTATTTTTTTAAAGATTTTATTTATTCATTTTTAGAGAAGGAAGGGAGGGAGATAGACAGATAGATAGATAGATAGATAGATAGAGAGAGAGAGAGAGAGAGAGATAAACATTAATGTGCAGTTGCTGGGGGTTATGGCCTGTAACCCAGGCATGTACCCTGGCTGGGAATCGAACCTGCGACACTTTGGTTCGCAGCCCGTGCTCAGTCCACTGAGCTACGCCAGCCAGGGCTTTTATTTTATTTTTTAAATCATCTTTTTTGTTGTTGTTCAAGTTCAGTTCACACCGGTAAGGATGGCTGTCATAAATGAGTCAACAAACACGTGCCGGAGAGGCAGGAGAGAAAAGGGATCCCTAGGGCACTAGTGGTGGGCAGGCAGACTGCCGTGGCCGTTTTATTCATTTTTTAAAATGTCACTTCCTCATTCATGTAACTCGGCTTAAAATTCCTAGCATACTGCAACCCTACTGTTGTCTAGTTCTAAACCACTGCACTGACATGTTTTACCCATAGCATTAATTAGCAACTGAAATGATATGCTTTGCTTATGTACTTGATTATTAGTATACATCTCCCTGATAAATCTGCTTTAGGAATCCTTGATGTCTGTCTTGCTTTACCTGCAACTCTTAGAATAATACCTGGCATGTAGGTGATGCTCACTGAATATTTTTCCAATGAACACACAAATTGTAAAATTTCTGCTTAAGTTGAAAGTATTGAATACTTATGTTATATGACATTTGGCAAAGATCTTTTAAGATCTTTGATCAGGCATACTGAATTTTATTATTTCATAGACCTTATTTTGAAGGTTTTCATGGTTGCTGCACAGCACTTGTTTAGTTTTTGTCGTCTCTTAATTGTATTCTTACTCAATCCTCTGTAACTAATTCTGCTCAAGGGCAGAGCATTTGTTTCTTCTCTGCTTACTGAAAAATTAAACAATAGAGATTGAGCAAATGAAGTATTTTTCAAAGCAATCAATGCCACAAAGCTCTTTAAAGAATTATATTGAGTTTATTTATACATTATGCAGCAGTAGACACAGTCCATTTAGTACTTCTCTTAAAAGACTGTTAGAGCAGCTAAGTAAAAATTACACAAAAATTTTTCACTGTGAAGCAGATAGAATTTTAAGGATAAGAGTCATTATGTATCTAAATAATTAAATTGGTGAAAATAATTTACATAGTTTGTAGAAAATGTTAAAAAGTACACCACTCACTGTCTGTTAGCAAGTAACTATATTATAGTGTGAATCTACGATGATAGCAAATTACTCTTTCTGTGCTGTTGTATATAAGTGGACTTTAATAACAAACTAGCTCTGCTATTAGAAAAATATTCTCATATTTTACAAATCTTAGGTAAGAACAGCATTTTTTATTTGGTTCTACATGTTGATATAAAATATTTTAGTTTTTTTAGATTTCAAAGGTCTATAATTAGCTTCAAAAAGATGGTAATAGTAAATTTTCACCATGCTGAACAACAAAATAAAAAATGATCACGTAAAGGCACACCTGTTTTTTTTTTAGCATCACAGCATTTGTATCTTTCTAAGTGTAATTATATGTGATTTGATTTTGACAAAAGAAATGACACTTGTGAAAATGTTAGTCTAGTGCCATGACTAATAAACAACTACTCACCAGTTAATGTGAGAACACACCTTAATCATGATTCAAAATCGAACTACTGGCTTATCATGGGATACACTAAATAATATTTACTAACATCTAATGTATTAGCCTAGTAATCAATCAATAAATAATATGCAATATTTTTATATGTATGGTCTGCAAGTCCTCATATTTTCTCTCTCATTTTAGAGTTTCCTTTATCCTTCTGAACATGTCATTTTTCATAAGAATATTGGAATAATTTTGTTCATCCTTGCGGATATTTTTTCACTATAAACAGTATCAATGTGCTGCTGCCCATGTTTAATCAAAGTGATTTGATGGGGCGCCTCTCTATGCTCCACGGCTGTCGCCTCCTTCTGCGGCTCCTGGCTCTGCTTGTGCGCTCCTTCAGGGCGGACCTGGTAGCTGTTCTGTGAAGCGACAGCTGAGGAGACTCGGGTGCTCGCCATGGCCCACGAAAAGCCCAAGGAAGGAGTCTGGACTGAGAACAAGGGTTATATTAATATGAAGGTGGCGGGGCAGGATGGTTCTCTGGTGCAGTTTAAGATTAAGAGGTACACACCACTTAGTAAACTAATGAAAGCCTGTTGTGAGCGACAGCTGGAAATGGAGGATGAAGGTACGATTGATGTGTTCCAGCAGCAGAGAGGAGGTGTCTACTAAGAAGGGAACCGGCTAGTTTCTTTCAGAACTCTGTTCCTCCAGATCAAGAAGACATTCTCAGTTAGAAAACTGCAGTTTGGTTCCACCACATTCTGATACTACAGTATAGTTTTCTCTATTCTTTCATTTCCCTTTCCATATTCCTTTATTGTATATAAAGTAACTGATGTATGTGCACAAGCATTTGCATTTTTTAGAAAAAACTAAACAGCCAATGGTATGTTTTGATTGACATCACATGAAGATGGGGTGGGGAAAAGCACTGGTTCCGTGAAGATACCCCCTTTCTCTGTTAGTGGCATGCACATTCAGCTCTTACCTTTACATTCTGGTAAGTTCTTTTGCTCTTGCTCTTTAACAGAAAAGAACAACATAAAAATCCTTGCATACCTTGTGTGATTGGAGAATTTTAATGTTTTTCATTTATTGTAAAACCAAGGACAATTTTATAACTTTTTTTTACTTGTACATGTAAGGCAATCTGTCTTTAAGTAGGGATAAATTACTCTAAAAGAAATGAGTCCTAGGTAGTTTCCCCTTCAAGTCAAGTGTCTTGTTGTTTAAATAAACTTCTTGTTTAAAGAAAAAAGTAATTTGATGAACCATCAATAAAAAGTTTAAAATCATTCCTAGCTTATTTTTTCTTTTCAGAATTGTTGAAAGTTAATTACTTAAATGTGGGACTAGATTTGCTAAAAACAATGTTACGTGGTTTAAATATCCCTTCAAACTTTCTGGAAAACAATAAAATTATAACAAAATAAGGAACATTTTTTTGTCCAAATTCTGTGCATTGATTATTCTTCCCTTCTGTGTCCCACCTGTAATGTGAAATGTGGAGAGAGGGGAGGAGTTACGCAACCAGAAAACTGGGGCCAGTATCTGTATGTTTAGGATAGCAGAGGAGAAAGCTAGAAGGACCCTAAGCTATGGCTGATATCGTGAAAATTCTGCACCAGCCTCTTCTCTTATGAAAAAAAAGAAAATCAACTGCTATTTCGTTGTCCTACTCTATTACTCTTTTCAGAGTCATGATATGACTCAAATATAACATGTATATTTCAGAGTTAAATATAATATTAACAAATTCTGAGCATGTGATAATAGCATTAAGAGTGTATGTGTTTGTGTATGTGTGTATTTTTTTATTGTTGTTCAATTACAGTTGTTGCCATCTTCCCCCCACCACTCTCCCCTGCCCCACCCACCGCCATCTCCCACATCCTCAATCCTACCCCCAGTTGGCTTTGTCCATGGGTCCTTTATACATGTTCCTTGATGACCCTTCTCCTTCTTTCCCCATTATCCTCCCCCCTCTCCTCTGGTTACTGTCAGTTTGTTCTTTATTTCAGTGTCTCTGGTTCTATTTTGCTTGCTTGTTTGTTTTGTTGATTTTTTAATATTTATAGTGCAAACATTTTTTTTGCTAGAGGATAACTGATCAAGATGGCACTGGAACTGCATAATGTAAAATCTGTTCTTTCCCTCTCTCTTTCTCTCTTGCTGACACTCAAGATAAATATCTTCTGAATACCTATGTTCATTTACACAAATATAATACTAACATTCATGGACGACATAAAGCATTGAAAGAGCTAAAGGTATAGTTCTCCTGGACTGTGGGTCTGGCACCAGGCAGAGGTGGCCAACAATTTGACTCTTGCAGGCTGATTAGACCAAAAGACTTCCAAGTATATAGAGCCCAGAATCTGCCCTCCTTTTTGAAACTGAGCACAGTGGTAGGCCTCACATAAATACCAGAAGAGGTTAATGAAAGCAGCACCAACTGTATGGGTCTACTGCATAAACTTGGTGTTAGGGATGATGACACCTGGCTTTGTGGGAATAAATTCCCCTGAGAATAACCTGGCCATCACTTTGCATTTTCAGCATTAGGCTACTCTGTGTGCGGTGTGAGGATGAGATGGAGGGTGTGGAGAGGAAAGGCACTTACCGGATAGGTTTCTGTAAAAAGAACAAATAGCTTATTATCCTTGGCTGGGCTCTGCCCTGCAGTCTTTTGGAGGGAGGGTGGTCTGCAGAGAAGTTAACTGCCCTTGCTCTAGGACTGCCTTTTTCTGCTGTCCTTCTTGAGAATTAGAAAGAATTTCCACTGCTGTCCTGGAGCAGATTTTTTTGAGCAACAGAGGGTCTTGCCTGTGGCCAGCCTCATTTGCAAGTGGAAGAATAGCTGTGCCACGTTCCAAGACTCAGTTAGAGAGCACGGCTTGGCTAAAGGCCTGAAATCTCACCTTGTAGCTGAGTCTCTATCAGTAAGAAAAGTGTGAATTTGGCCTCAGAATTCCTCCTATTTGTATTATTTCTCAAAATGTTCAGAACCCGAGAGAAAGGGAAAGATGCCATTTATCATAAACCCCCATCCCAGGACCAAAGCTAGGCTGGCAAAAAACAACACCTGTAATACAGACTGGCTGCATTCATGATGAAAAACTTTTAGCAAATTATTCAAAATTATATTAGCAAAATATTTTGCAAAACATTCAAATTATATTTTGAATAGCACTCTATTCCTTTCATTCTGTATTAATGAAACTCTTATTCTTTGTAAGTTTATACCTTTAAAATATGTATCTAACTAGTCTCTGAATATCTTTCTTGTGTTTTTTCAATATTTTGTTTCTCTAAGTTATATTTTAGGTGAATTTAACAGCAATCGATTATAATTCATCAGCAATCGATTATAATTGATTTTTTGGGTCTCTAGGATTTGTCTATGTAAAAACAATTATTTCTAGGGCTGACGGTTTTACTTCTAGAATTATATTTGCTTATATTCATTCAGTGGTTCGATTTACTTGTTACTGTTTTATGACTCTCAAAAAATAGGTCAAATGCTTTATGTTTTCTATTATTTTAATTTTATTGGAAGTGATTTTATCTATAATATTTTAATTTGGTGCCTCTCTTAATATCTGCTTCTTTTGTATGGTTTGAAATATTAATATAAGTATGAATAGAAGGTGTTTTCTCCCTTCCCCTAAAATTGCTTTTCTCTGATTGCCCATTTTATCATGCTCCCAAAGAGACCTAAGGGCTCTCATTAGTCTAGGGCAGGGCAAGGGTTGTGTCTGACACTGAGATGTGCTGTGAAAATGATGACAAGGGCGTGTATTAAGGGACATTTGTAGAGAGTGGTAAAGTCACTGAAGGAATTGTCATCTGTTGGCACCAGCTTTCTCTTTTGTTTTCTGGGATACATATTGACCAATTGTATGTATTTGGCCCTCTCTTCTACCATTACCTTGTAAACCTTTTCCTTAATCTACGTCGTGTTTTTTTTGTTGTTGTTCACCTTTTCAAGTATTGGTGAGTTCCTATCTATTATTATGTTTTCTTCTTTGTTTTTTTTAATACATTGTCCCCTGACAACCTCATTTAAAATGATAAACACCATCATAAATATAAAATCATTATCAAAATTAAATATGTTTGCTGAATTTAGATTTCAAAATACCTACTGGCTATCTTTTCTTTGGTGATCAATTGTTACCTAAAACCCTTTACATCTTCAAAAGAACCATATGTGTATAATCCTAACCCAAACACTAACCCTAACCCTACCCCCCGCCCCCAACCTTGTGTATCATAATTGTCAATAACATAAACAGAGAATTATCTTTGATGTTCCCTTCTCATTCGCTCCTGTGTTGTAAAACAAAACCAAACCCACTTTTTTTTTTGGCGGAAGAGAACTAAAACTTTACTGTTTTCAGTTTCCATGTTATTGCTGAGATTTATCTCTGATTGTTTCTTCCCAGGATCACTCACTGCTGCACCCGCCTCCGAGGTCATCCTGACCAGCATCGATCATCTTCCACACCATTGCTCAGGAGTTTCTCCTAAAGGCCCCAATCTTACTGGGAGAAATTCAAATATATTACTCTATATGCACAGAATGTGTGGCAGGAATTATTCAAAGGTATTTAATAGGGTAAGAGGAAGACAAATGTTCTCAAAGTATGAAATTCCAAAACATAAATTTTGAAGTCTCAGCCATACAAGACTGTGGTGTGAGTTGTGCCTTATTATATTAACCACAGAATGATGGTTCATCCAAAAGGAGTGGATGGTTATCCACTCCTAGTGGATAAAAGAATGTAAAATGAAGCCAAGGAAGAACTACTGCCGATATGCACCAGAAGTAGCTGTGTAAAAATTGTTTTACTTGTAACAATTATTTTATGAGGGGAACAGAAGGGTCAGCTTGGTTCTAAATATTGTATATTGCTCTAAGTATTGTATATTGCTAAGTATTGTATATTGCTCAAATAATTGTGTATTCATCAAAATGTTATACTGAGAATGAGTTTGTATGCTTACTTCATGCTTATATAAGTAATATAAATGATTACAATGCCATAACACGTCTGAAGATTATATTGCAACTGTATAAAATCTATACACTTCAGAAAATTTGAGTTAAAGTTTTTCAGTTAATACTGACATTATTACTACTAATCTTGTATATTTATTGGCTAATCCTTTTTATTATATTACATATCTATTGAATACTATTTATCACAATGTTTGTTTTTTTATTTTTTATTTGCTTTTTACTGTGAAGTTTTAGGATAGTTTCACAAAAATGTCTCAAATTCAAACTGTGATTCAATTTATCATATTTTCTGATGGTTTTATCCACATTTTAAAATCTCTGTGAATGAAATGTGTTCTTTTGCCTGAGATGAATTCTTCTTATACTTTTTTCTTGCTTGCCATTCACAAGAGCTTAATTGGCCCACTCTGGCAAAAAAGCCCCCTTTGTAAAGCACTGACACTTGAAGAGATATTTTAAAAAGCATCCAAGAAGATTAGTTATTATAGTAAATCTATATATTCTTAAAGGATTGGATAAGAGGATGTAAAATAGGCAAATTCAACTTGCTGATAAAGAATATGTGCATAGAGAGTCTGTATTTAATATTTTGTAAACTTTCTTCTTGCCAAATAATTACTTATTTCTTTTGTATTTTCCATCT